CCTGCATTTTCATGTGTGGCTCATGAACAGGACTGAACCCAGGTGACCACTCCAGGTCTCATCTGGGTGCTATCAAGCCTGCCCGTGAGTGGGGCTGTGACTTGTGCTCCTCTTATTAAACGGGACCTGGCCTTAAACCCAGAAGAAAAGCTGATGTAAGCATCCTAGCATTGTAACTGACGGGCGTGATGTCACCAAGAACGGGAGGCATCTGCCAGCTGCAGGTACCGCTCAGAGAGTGAATCCCTTATCTGTAGCTACCAAAGGGAAACACTCAAGCGCCACGTGCCTAGTGAGGATGCCTCCGGCCCGAACGTCTTTCTGGGGATGTGAATTAAAATTCAAATGAATTGGATTTTCTTCTCCAGGGATCTCAAAGGATATTGGAATCCATCAAAGAATATTGAAATCAACATAGATTACCTGTGGCTAATATATATGTTAGATGTGTGTAGTATATATAATATATAAACATAATGAATAGATAAAAAGATAAATATCTAAATATTAGTAAAAAAAATTTACTCTGGCTAAATTGTTTGCGTTGAACCCAGCCACCCTCCCTCACCCACACGTTCATGGAAGACGTGTCTTTATTCATTTACTTATTTATACATTATCTTTCTACTTACACATATACACAAATACATGTGATCACAGACCGTTTTCATTTAAGATCCTAAAAACCACAGGGACTAGTAAGAGCAAAGATGTGATGTCTGATTTGCAAATGAGGCCTGAGAATGAGGCTCACAAAAGTTCAGTCCATCTTGCGGGGTCAGGGAGCGCCCAGACACAGAGTGAGGTGGGAGACCCGCACCCCCCCCCCGCCCAGCTCCAATCGGCAGTTGGCTTTATGTTTCAGTCTAATAAGATGATGCTTCATTTGTCGGGAGGAGAAGGGAAGGGCTGAGTGTTTGGTGAACATGCTTGCGTTTATACTAGGCTACTCGAAATGCCCAGTGGGTCAGTCACTACCTGCTTTCCATGGTAAAGAATCTCAGACACTCGACTGAAGCCAGGCCTGATGTCCCGCTCCCCAGAAAACACGGTTAGGAGATGGCATCCTGGGGTGCATAGTACCATGTGGGATAGCTGGGGGTTGTATCACCAATGCATGAGACCGTGGACACGCTGTAGACTGTCCTAGGGTTCCATGAAGATTTCATGTTGACCCGGGATTGGGGGTGGGAAGGAGGGGAGCAGAGTGGTGATCTCTCCCATTGGCCTTGCCCACCTGCACCTACTGCCAGTGTTGTATTTCCTGACAGAGTCAAGCCCTCAGGTGCAAGGGCTCCTTGTACCCCTTGGAGACAGCCTCGTTATTGGTCTCTCCCACGGAGAACTGGCCCTTCTAGCCTTTTCCTCCTCTTCATGGTCTGTCTGCTGCGGAGTTAGTGACCAGCTCACATAGTCGTGAGTGAAGTGTCTACCGAGGGGCAGGAAGACTTGGGAGATTCATGGTGGGGGGTGTGGGGGGGTGTTGGGCCCAGCGCTGAGCTAACGTGTCATTGCTCCGGGGAGTGTATTAATCATGGTGCACGGGGCAGAATTTAGCTTCTGGGAAGCTTCTGAGTACATGGGTTTCCAAAGTGAAATTGTCAAAAGAATTTTCAGCTTTGTTGCCGCGCAGTAATTACACGGACAACAACTATGTGGCCCTGTCTTCTAAACAAGGACCCTTTTCTTGTGAGGTTAACATCCAGAGGATGTTCTGGAAGAATTATAATTATTTTTTTCATGTTCTTAATAATAAAATGACCTTTTAGTTCTGAATAACAAAGCAAATGCTTTGAACTTGTGGATTTGGTGGCATTAACATGCAAAGGAAGTAAAAACATGACAGTATTCTATAGGAAGCAGCAGTTTTGGTTTGCCCTATTCCCATGGACTGGCGCCATGTTCTGGAACCACACAGGGGTTGGGACTGGCCATGTGTGCTACTGGGGGGGGGAGGTCTCGGGAGGCGGGCAGCGCTGCCTGGACCAGATGCATTGACTTCTGGGGCCCCAGCCTGCTGTCCCCACACCACCTAGAGCTGGCCCTGTTTGAATTTATCCACATCACTGTCTTCCCCAGGGCACAGGGCACTGATAATGGGAACCCAGAGTTATTTCTAAAATGAAAGTAAAGATGCCAAAGAGAAACAGGACTCTGCTAGCCAGCTGATGCGGGAAAATGTCCCCTTGAATTTGGGGCTTTAACATCAGTACATTTTCTTTTAACAGTGGGCAGAAGAAGGACGTGCAGTCAATAAAATCTGACTTACACTACATGCTCCACCCCACCCCCCATGTCGCTTCCCAGCACTTCATTTTCCCTTGGGCATTATCTGCGAGAAGGAGGAAATTGCTTGTTATTAATAAAGCCCCCCCAATTCTCCCCTTGCCCATCCAATCCGGAGGACTCTGGCTAAAATATCTAAATTATGTCCTTTGAACTAACTAAAGACCTTCCTTAGCTGCATTTGTCAAATGGTATGCCCATTTGAAAGTTTTGGGGTCACTTACATAAGTTTCAGGTCATATCTACATACCCACAAATCAAGTTTCAATTGTGCCTTGCCTTCTCTTATTAATGTGTGGCATTTAGTCAAAATCAGGACATTCTGGCTCAGTAGCTTTTTTTGTTCAGGTGTTGGAGCGGGGCGGGGGCAGGGGTGGTGAGCAGCGGGGAAAGGGAAGGGGAGCTTTCCAGCTCCTTCCAGGGCATCACGTGATGGTGAAGGTGCAGGCTTGAAGGAGGGGTTCTATAAAGCAGAAAGCTTCCGTTTGAGGCCAGAGCTCCCTTCTCCAAGTGTATAAGGAAGAGAGCAACCAGTAAACTCTCAACTAAAAGTAGGCACACATCAGGATCAACAGAATGGCCAAACAATAAACTTCTCAATAGAGATTGGATTAATAACCATTTGCTAAAATTCCAGAGATGCCTCCACCCTGCGGTTGACAGGGCAGAATAATATGCGGTGATTAGCAATAGACTGAGCACCGTCTCTAAAGCAGAGCCTGGGTTTAAGTCTGTCACTTAAACATTCTCCGGTGACCCCATTTTGGGAGGAATTTGATCCACTGGGTGGGGGATAGGAGAGACAGACAAGGGAGGATACCTGAGGTTCCCGGCTTGAGCGGGGTGCAGAACAGTTCCATGATCAAGGGGGTTAACATAGGAAGGGGATTGAGTTTGGGCAGTAAGATAATTAACTCTGGAACCTCTTGAGTTTGAGATACTTGCAGGGTCATTCATGTAGAACCCTCTGGTGGGTGTAAGAAATACAGTCCCTGGGTCATTTGGACAAGGGGCATTTGGGTACAGATCTGGCATCATGCATAGAACCCGTGGGGAATCCAGGGATTATACAGGAAGAAGTAGGAAGTGAAGAGAGCACATAAGCACAGATGCGTTCCCAAAGAACACAGACCTCTCAGGAGTAGCCTGAAGAGGGGGAGGTGGCCACGAGGACTGAGAACTGACCTCCAGAGGCCTCCCAAAGCTGGAGAGCCAAGTGCCTGGAGTTTGGGGCCCCCAGGCCCAGAGAAGCTGCCTAGGGGCAGGGTTTAGGCAATTAGGAGGTGGGTGGTATTCCTTCACAGAAGCACTTCAGGGGGTGGAGGACAGAATCCAGACTCCATTGGAAGAGGAGCAGTGATTAAGGCAATCTGCCAACACCCTTTGTTTGGGCAGCTGGGAGGAAGCAGAAGGATTGGGGAATTCTGTGCGGGGGGAGGGGAAAGGAATACAATAAAGAAAGCGCCCAGAAGCCGACGCCGACCCAGGCTGGGAGCATAAGTATGTTGTCTGTCCCTTTATTCCGGAGCAGCTTTAACTACCCCGTGGGTCTGGGTGCTCTGTCTCCCTGGTGATGTAATCTACGTGTCTGCTGAGTTAGAACCCGGGGAATGTATCATTTCACTGCCTCCTGCGGGAAGCCCCGAGCTGGGGCTCTCTCTTCTGACTGGAAGCCCGATGCCCGGATTTTTACTTTTTTTCTTTTTCATGCATCCCTCTCATTTAAGTTAGCTTCGAGCTCTCCTGAACAGTTCGTTTGAAGATATTAGCCATCAGTGGGTAAATTCACAGATACACACCGGTGCCATGGTTGGAGGGGTGTGGGCTGGACCCCCTGGACTCAAGTTCAGGCCCACGGTCTCACGATAGCTGACATTAGGCAAGCTGCGTGGTTTCTTTGTGCCTCGGTTTCTTCAGCTGTTTAATGGTGCTGATGATGGTACCTGCCTCATAAGGCCGTCATGAGGGGTAAATGAACTAGTGTTTATAATGTGCTCAGCACAGTGGACCGTGCTTAATAACCACCTACCGTTATTGATATTCCTTTCCTCTCTGCTGCTTAAGCTCTTAGCTTATCAACATTGGCTGCAGCCCAGAGCCATAAGAAATAAGAATACAGTATACCCAAAACTCTGCTGAAAGGGCCCACATCTTTGTCATCTTTCACCCAGCATCTCTGGCTGGGGGGAGTCTGGAACCTCCCTTCCCAGCCCCTCTCTGTACCTGGGACACCCATCCTGCCCACTTCTGCCCCTGTTCCCACCTCCACACGTGGGGCTCCTGTACCTCCTCAGTTATGTTTTTCTTTTCCCCAGGGCTGTCCACGCAGCTCTTTGTCTGCTTTAAGCTAAGGGCTCTTGGGACCAGAAACCTTGTCTGTTAGTGATTTCCAAGCTCTTGTAATGACGCCCAAATCACCCAAGCGTGAATGGGGAAAAAATTTGAAATGAGACCAAATTAAAATGATAGCACAATGGTTCTTCCCTGTCTCTTTCGAAGTACAAGGGGAATTCTTTGCAGAAGAATGGGGTGATTTCATAGTCTCCTTCCGGCGCTAACATTGTGTGACGCCCGGAGAAGGGAGAGGTACAAATAATAGGGGATTGGAAAGGAAGGCATAAAGCTTGCTGTTTTGTGATCTGAGGCCAGATATTTTCCGGTTATGTTTCCACTGTTCATGCTTTTGTTTCCAACCTCTTTGCCTTTGCTTTCAGGGAAGGCCGCTCAAATGCCCACATCAGAGGGGATTACCAAAGAATCGGAGATGTCCTACTGAAGAACATTCAGGGTATGAAGGTGAGCTGCTTTGGGATTCCGGTGGAACGAGTTCCCTAGGGAGAACCAGGCTGGGCCTCCCAGAGGCCTGGGCTTCAATCCCAGTGCATAACCACACATGACCTGATTTGACTAAATACAGGTAAACGCAGGGTGAATTCCGCTGTCCTTGCAGACCATCGCGTTTGGAAGGAAAATGCAGCCCCTTTGGGAGAAGTACTTGCAGTACTTTTCCTCCTTAAAAGCTCTGTGCTGTAATCAAAACAATAGGTCTTATCTGAATAAATCATTCAGCACTCATTTTAAAAAACGACATAGACAAAACGTGGTTTGGTCGACTGAACATTGCACTTTTCATCAGTCGTTTTGGCTTCTTGTAAGTGTGACGAAAACATTGGGTTTAGAGCCAGGTAGGAATTCTAATCAATCCTATGACTTGAAGTCACTGTACCAGGCAAAGACATTTCTAACCAGCCAGCAATATCTGCAATGAGACAAGAGTATACCACCAGACATATTGAACCAATATTCTACCTCATTTTTGAAATCTGCCCCATCTCTTAGCAGTGAAATTTTCATTTTTACGTTTTCATCTTAATTAATGCCTTTAATATACAATATTTTAATTCACGGTTTACCTTTTGAAGACAAATACCTCTCTATTTACATTTTAAAGTGATCTTCCTACATTTCAACTGGCCCAACAAAGCCTAATACCTTTACTAATAACTCAGAGCAACCTCTAAAGAAGGGAGGTTGCTCCTGCCACCATTTCCCCCCATCCAACCAACCATCTATCCACCCCCCCCCATCCCTCCCTCCAGGATTAGCTGAGCACCCACAATGTATAAGACGCTTGTACAGTAAAAGTTACTGTTGGAGTTTGAATTAATTCCCAAGAATCTTACGAAGTTGTTTAAGGCTTTATTTTCCCCCTTAGAATGATCTATCTCATGAGGCAGGACAAGGGGATGGTGGGGCGGGGGGTGGTACACAGAAAAGACAAGATCTAAAGCCACTCCAGAGCTTTCCTGTTTCTCTTAACAAAGATCAAGATACTATTTAACAGGCCTTGAGCACACTTTTTTACAGTCTTCAAAAAGCAACACTGCCCTCTGGGCAAGACAAGAGAGAGGCCATGAAAGCTATCCGGATTGCAGAATCCCATGCAATAAATGCAAAGAATTATCTAAGATGTTCTACAGCCACGGTGTTTTCAATGCTTTAAGTCAGGCTGATCCACAAAACTCAGATGTAACAGTAACAGACCTCCTTGTGCTTTCCATAGTATTTTTTATTAGTGTATTTTCTTTTCTAAAGCAGTTTTAGGTTTACAGAAAAACTGAGCAGAAAGCCCACAGAGACGTCCTATGTGCATACTTGTGTGTACACACACACACACACACACACACACACAAAGTGCCCTGGCACTAACATCTTGCATGGGTGTGGGATCTTTGCTACAACTGATGAGCATTACTATTATCTAAATCCATAGTTCCCGTTAGGGGTCACTCTTGGAGTGGTACATTCTGTGGGGTTCTGCCAAATGCAGAATGTCATGTACCTGCCATGACAGGATGACACAGGACAGGGTCACTGGCCTAAAATTCCTCCAGGCTCTGCCTGTTCATCCCTCCCCTCCCCCACCCCCTGGCAACCCCCGACCCTTTCCTGTCTGCATAGTTTTGTCTTTTCCAGAATGTCCTATAGTTGGAATCACACAGCGGGCAGCCTTATCAGACTCTTTAACGCTTGTTAAAGATACTCTTTTTTTTCTCTCTTTTGTAACATGTTTTTGTTACTGTTGGACTTTCCAGTTATTTTCCTATGTCCGCCTGTTTTTTTTTGGCCCAGTTGGGTTTTCCCTCTTTGCTCTCAGTATTCCCTTCACCTAGATGGCAGCTGACTCTGGAATGACATGGGTTTGAACTGCGTGGGTCCACTTACATGTAGAACGTTTCCCATAAATACAGGATACCATGAATGTATTTTGTCTTCCCTGTGATATTACATATACCACTATATGTTAATCAATGTTAACCATAAGGTTTCTAGTCAACATTAGGCTATTATTAATAGTTCAGCTTTGGGAGAGTTAAAAGTTACATGCCGATTTTTTAAAAAAATATATTTTTTTCACATTTATATTTATTTTTGAGACAGAGCACGAGTGGGGGAAGGGCAGAGAGAGACATACACAGAATCCAAAGCAGGCTCCGGGCTCTGAGCCGTCAGCATAGAGCCCGACGCGGGGCTCGAACCCACAAACCGTGAGACCATGACCTGAGCCAAAGTTAGACGTTCAACCGACTGAGCCACCTAGGCGCCCCTAAATGCTGATTTTTAATTGCATGGGGGAGTCAGTGCCCCTCACCCCAGGGTTGTTCAAGGGACAGCTGTATAATCCTGCCCAGGGAGGGCTTCTGCCTTCACAGACTCCCTTCAAGGAGGCTTGGACTCCACCATGGGCCTCCAGAGACGGCAGCTGGAGACCTGCCAGCCCATTCCTTGCCCCCTTGGGGACAGTCCCCAGCATCACCAGCTGTCCTTTGTGCCTCGTCCACGGAGAGCTGACAGGCAGTGTACCCACCCTCCTCTCTGTTCACCTAGCGCCTGAGACCTCCTAGAACATACCTGATTTTCGCTCAGAGCAGCTCTTTCTCCTCAGTCTGGTGAGTTGGCATTTTTGTGGTTAGTCAGCTTCGTCGGCTGTGCTGGCATTTGAGTTCCTGTGCGGATGCCATGAGCATATTTATAGCATGGAGCTCCGTGCAAGCAAAATAAAAATAGGTGGAGAGGCTCAGAGAGCCACTGGCTGCCGTTTTTAGCATTTGTTTGGGTTGCTTTTTCTTGTGGTGGTTATAGCTGGCTTTAAAGAATTTTTATGAAGTATGAAGGAGAGCCAGCAGAAGGTTCGAGAGATGCAGAAGCCCAGGATAGCACTCTTGTCCAAAAGGCTTAAAGTGATCTACAGCTTGCAGTGTCCTTCCTGTCCCCCACCCCCACAGACCCCTGTGTTTTTACCTGCATTGGCAGGGGCTCAGCCAGACTGGGGCGGTTCCCAGACCCTCCACTCATGACCATGACCGAGGGAGCTGGGCCAGGGGCTCCAATCCCTGCCTGAAAGTCAGATACCCAAATTAGGATCTCTTGCTTATGCCGCAAACTTCCAACTGGAGACATCTGCTCAGATGCACAAAGGCACTTCAAAACCCTCCCAAAGATCCATCTTTCACCCAGGCTGGGACCTTCACTCGACCCGTCTGTCTCCTCAGGTGCCCACCTCCTGCCCCCTCTCCTCCTTCAACTTCTCCCACCTTACTCCTTCTGGCTCTCAGCTGGCTGTCTGCTGGAGGACCCGACCAGCTTCCTGGTGTTGCCCTGCCTCCCGGCGAGCCGTCCTCCCAGTCAGCACGGATGGTACCGCCAGACTGCCGAGGCTCACGACCCTCCTGTGTCTCTCTGGCTGGGAGAATACAGTCCAAACCCAAACCTGACAAAGGCCTTCGTGTTCTAGCCCTGGATGATCTTTCCAGGCCTTTCCCCGTGTCCTTCGCATGCTTCTCTGTGCTCCAGTGACCATGAACTCACCTCTCCAGGCACTCAAGGTTCTTGCAAGACTCCTGCCTTGTCTGGGTGCATGCATGGTTGTTTTTTCTTGTTTTGTTTTGTTTTGTTTTGTTTTGAAGTGACCTCTACTCCCAACGCGGGGCTCCAGCTCACAACCCCAAGATCAAGGGTCACATGCTACCAACTGAGCCAACCAGGCACCCTTCATTTGCTCATTAAGGCATGCAGGCAGCAGGCATTTACTGAGTGCCTATGTGTGTATCAGGCCCCGAGGATGCAGGAGCATGACCGATGTGCACTCTTAAGGTCAACTCGGGAACAACGCATGTGGTAACACGGCCTGGAGCTGCACGTGTACACACACGCACGGGGGCACATTTAACTGGTAGAGTCTGAGTAAACTCCAGATCATACCAGTGTCAATTTCCTGGTGTTGATGTTGTGCTATAGTTACACGAGATGTTAGCCCTGGGGGAGACTGGGTGCAGGACCTCCCTGTACATTCCTGTGTAAGCTCCTATGAATCTGTATTTCAAAATAAAAGTAGTCACTAAACCCAGCAGGGGACACCACGTGACAAGGGCTGAGATGGACACATACGGCAGAAGTATAGAAGATAGAGGAGTCCCTAACTGGTGGAGGCGGGTGGGTGTTGAGGGGGTTGCTGAGGCCGGGCAGGGCTCCTCAGGGGCGTGTCACGTGCAGAGGCTCTGGGCATGAGCCGGGCAGTCAAGTGTAGGTTGTTCAGGTTGCTCACCTGGGGTGAGGTGGCAAGAAGCACAGTGGAGGGGGGGAGGCGTGGAGGCAGAGGTCCTGATGGAGACACCACCACAGTGGGTTGGGGGGGGGCGGGACACAAAGCCAGAACCAGGGCAGTGACTGTGCAGAGAAAGATGGTAACAGCCTTGACGTTTTTAGGAGGTAGAATCAGAAGGACTTGGTGAAGGATTCAAAAAAAAAAATGGAATCCGGAGTGTTTTCCTGGTTTTTCCATCCTGGATAACCGGCTGGTGGCGGCATCCGTCCTGAGGTTACAGAATCATGGGGCGGCCCCACTTGAGGCGGGCGGTGTTGGGTTTCCACTTGGACTCACAACGTTTCAGGCTCTTTGTGGAGCCTTTGGGGAGCGTGGAAATGTAGATGTGGGGTGGGCAGCACATGGACGGCAAGCCCACTCCCGGGAAGGAAGTCTTGAGGACAACTGCTGTTCTCTTGTCCTGGATGTTCTTGTGCCATCTTGTTACCCTTACCTGTAAGGTAAGGGAATCTACCCTTACCTTGCGATTCCCCACCTCCTGTAAGGACTTAATTCCTCCTTTAATGCTCTATTCTCAAACCCTCTATCCTCTTACCCTCGTCAGTCTCCACCACCAGCTATTACAGGAAGGGAATATTCAACAGCATGTGTTAAATATAGTAAAGCAGACTTTATTCAGGACCATTGGGACTGGGTAGGGTCCACTGCTGTGGGGGAGAGAGACTGGGCTCAACTCTGAATACAGCGTGGGCAAGCGGGGACTTCTAGCCAAGGGGCAGGGTGAGGGTCAGAGGATGGGAAGGTACAAAGAGGAAACATCGGGGATAAATCGGGTTCTGGCTGAACCAACCAGACAGGATTCTTTGCTGAAGACAAGGTGATCGCACGTCACCTGGGGATGGTAAGAGATGAGGAATCCAATGTCAAGGGTGGCCAGACGTCAAGGGCCGGGGGTTCCAGTTAGGCTTAGTAGGATTTTTGCTAAAACTGGCTTTTCATAAGGAAGCTCCCAGACCAGTCAAGGAGAAGCCTCAGGAGCCTGCAGAAAAGATGGTCAAGTAAAGTATCTTTGTCAGACCCCCACAGAGTAGGCTCTGTCTCTAATTCTCACCCAGCGCTCTGGAATGGAGCAGGGCAGGTGGCTCATGGCAGACGCTTCCTTACCGAGAAGCAGAAGGGAGGAGTTTAACAGAAATGCGTAGCTGTAACTATATGACACCTATTGAATTGGCCCTGGGCTCTTCTGACATTTAGAAGGAAAGCACAGCCCCCTGAAGGAGCTCCTGTCTATTAATTCCCCGCAGTTTTGCCAGCCTCACCTCTAATATGGCATATACGTCTCCTATGCCAATTCAAACGCATAATGCTTCCCTAGAGGTTTTTTCTTCATCCCGAGAGCCTAACGGAAATAATGAAATCAATAGCGAATGGGAAAGCTCGAAGTAGAATGAAAGGAAGCCACGAAAGGCCAGGGTGATGTTCACTTCTGAGAGTCGGGCCCGGTGGAACGCGTGTGCACTCGTGTCTCGCCCCCACCAGCAACTGGCGGCTCACCTGTGGAAGCACAGTGAAGCTTTGGAGGCGCTGGAGACGGGCATCAGGAGCTCGCGGCGGCTGGAGAGCCTGTGCAGAGACTTCGAGCTGCAGAAGGTGTGCTACCTGCCGCTCAACACCTTCCTCCTGCGCCCGCTGCACCGGCTCATGCACTACAAGCAGGTCCTGGAGCGGCTGTGCAAGCACCACCCGCCCAGCCACGCAGACTTCAGGGACTGCCGAGGTGAGTGAGGGGCGGGGCCTTGCGATCACGTGCCGGGGGGGGGCGGGGCGCGTGCTGCTTTTTAGCACAGGGCCCAGCGCTTTCAGTTACCTCTTGGTCTTTCCATAACGGAAGTGATAACGGTCATTAGGACCTCTCTCCTCCTTTGGTCCTGGGTAGTTTAGCGCAAAGAACCCTGGGGAAGGCCCATTTAGAGTCGGCTCCCCCACCCCCACTAGAAAGCATCCCTCTCCCTAGGTGGTTGAAACCTTTGACCCTCCTGGGATCAGCTAAGGAAAACAGCCTGTAATAAGTGCTTCAGCTAATTGCCCCTGGGCGTCTGTCGTGTGCCAGTCACCTTAAGAAGCACCTCACCTGATTCATTCTGTCTCTGTCTCCCCTTGCTCACTTGCTCTCAAAAACAAAAAGCGCCTCACCTGTATTGACTCATAATTTTCATGACCAGCCTACAAAAGGCAGGGGTGAGCTCATTTTACATATTGAGGCTACTGAGACCAGAGAGGTTAAGGAACATGCCCAGAGTCACACAGCTAGAAAGCAAATGACTTGGAACCTAAACCCAGAGCCCACATGCTTGACCATCCTATCCTTCTGTCATGATGATATTACCCACTGTCGCTCGCTCAGCCCTGGGCCAGGTATCTTACCAATATTAACACCTTGACTCCTTTAATAACCAACAACTCCAGCCACGATAAATAGTGTTTCCCCACTTTACAGATAAGATACCTGGGCCACTGCTATCTCTCTCTTATTATAAATGCCTCCCATCTGCGTTCTCTTTTTCTAAATGCACCTCTTACTGTTTTGTTTAAAACCTGGGTAACACCAGATTCCCTCGGGCTACCGTCAAAACTTCCTGACCTGACCCCCGAACAACATCGAGCACCTGCTGTGTATTGGGCATGTGAAAGTGAATGACGCAGCTGTGGCCCCCATGCATGGGACCCGCTGGTGGGCACAGAGGGGAAGACACCTGGACAGTGACTGCCCTGTGATCTGACCTGGCCTTCAGGGCTTAGGGGGAGCTCTCTGAGGGAAAGGATATCTTATCTTTACAGCTAAGGTATAAATAGGAGTTTTCCCAGTTGGGGGGAGGGTGTGCAGTATGAAGCTGGGAACGGCACGTACAGAGGTCCAAGGGGAACAGAGACTGTGGGAACACCCCAGAAAGTAGAAGTTCTATATGGAACTCAGAGGGATCGCAGCAGAACTGAGACTGCCAAAGTAAGCAGACTCCAATCCCGTGGGGTCTCATAAACCCCAGAAGACCACAGTCACGAGCAAAGGGAAGATAGGAAGGGCTGTAAGGAAGGAAATGGAGACGTGGGCTTGTTGCAGAAAGTCAATCCTTTGGTATGTAGGATATGTAGAGGAATCGTACAGGTTCATTTCTTAAAAGATAACCCCAGAGAAGTTTTGGTGAAATGACGAAGACATTGGCAGTTCACGGAAGGGGACAGAAATGGCTGGTGACGTGGTTTTGGTTTGTCACACATAGGTCGTTAGTCTTTAAGACCATGGTGCTTCGTGCCTCTGCACCTCGGTATAGTCTGTTCCTTCTGCTTGGAGTCGTTACTGCCACTACTCACCCTCTCCTGGCACAGGGTTCCTCCTCCTAGGAGCCTGGAGGTTGCGCCTGACCCTCGAGGTCGGGTGACCCTCTCCACCCGCCTACCTTGTCTTATATAGCAGTTGCCAGTTGGCCACACCCGGGTGGGAGGACTTAGAATTGTATGGCTAGATCAGCCAGAAAGGTGAAGGACATCTTTCATTCCACATGTACTGTCCTTGGCTGGCTTGCCCAGCTGGCATTTTATGGAACAATCCCCAGTAAAAAAAAAAAAAAAAAAAAAAAAAAAAAAGTCTGTGGTTGACAACTAAATGGAAAAAGCATCGGTTACCTAGCTTAAGACCTAAGATAGCATGGTTGTGAAAAGGCTATATGTTTACTACTCGTGAGTAGTTGTGAAAAGGTGTATGTTTACTACTCGTGAGGGATGTAGTGTGCCAAGAGCCATTCTCGAGATGCCTCCCCATGAGCGCTCAGGGACCAGGGTGACATCTTTTTCCTCTTAATGCCTCCTCAGTCCCCCCACCCCACCCCCACTAAGCATTCAGTGCCCCGTGACTGTTTATTGGACTAAGCCGGCCAGTAAATGTCTGAAGATTGAGCAAGTCCTGGGTTTTGTCACTAAGGCTGGGACAAGGCATTCTGTGATAAGCCGGGAAGAATTTAATTTGCATCCCCAGGGAGAAAGCAAGGATCACTTCCCTTCCAATGTTGAAGTGCTGGGGGCGAGGAGGTGTTTAGTGTTCTGAAGACTGGCGTTCAGTTGACAAGTACTGCTTGACAAAAATACCTAAATAGCTACTGTGGGTTTACATGTCACCCAAATGTGTCCTAAGGGGACAGGAGCTCCTTTTCCAGATCAGATGCTTCCCAGTGTAGGGAAGACCCTCTCGTGAGTGCAAACACCAGCTTCCTTCTGCCGTCATTCTTTGCAACCATCTTGGCAAAATGTGATTTCTGCAGAAGGAAGGACTGGGGTGTGCTGGAATGTTAGTTGCCCAGAAGCGTCACACTATCAAGGAGACTCTCTCACAGAAAGATCCCCTGTCTGCCCCAGATTTTTCTGTGGCCTCTCTATCCTCTCTGTCCTTCCCAGGGAACAGGAGGTGGACAGAAACTTGTGCCCTGGAGACAAAATTCTAGTTCGTATTCCACTGCGATCCCCTCTGTGCCAAGTGATTCCAGTGGAAAGACAGCTATCCACCACATAGCCACAAAGGGGCCATTTTCATTTCCAAGATGCTTTGGGGAAACTCAAGCAAATAAATTCATATTGCAAATTTTTATTTGTTAGAGATTTTTATTAGAAATAGCAGTGTTTTCCCTTAGAAGGACAGCCTCTATCTTCGGGCGGCTACTGGAGGATATTCCCCCCGGAAGTCTGATGGGAAAACAGACCCCCGTCCGCCATTAATGCTGCCATTTCCGGTTCTGTTCCCTTGGTCAGCTGCTCTGGCAGAGGTTACTGAAATGGTGGCACAGCTTCACGGTACGATGATCAAGATGGAGAATTTCCAGAAGCTGCATGAACTCAAGAAAGACTTGATTGGCATCGACAATCTTGTGATTCCGGGAAGGGTAAGTAAGCAAGCTGTTAGAGGTGAAGCCAGAAAGGCAATGTTTAAGTGACTTAAATTTGAACCTTTTGAATACGGGCTCTCCAGTTTAAGATCTCCCCCTTCTGAGTGAAATGGCTTCCTTCCAGCTGTGAGACAGTTGGGACAATGCCTTGAACATGACAGCGTTACTATCACTGCCCAATTTTGGGTCAGAAGGAGATAAAGCAAGGCTATGACCTCCTTTTTCTCCTTCCTGGTTGATTTGCTAATTTACTTTTTTCCTACCGTATTCTGACAGGATTGGAGACATCTTATTTTACTTTTTTAAAGTTAGGTAAATGAAAACGGAAGCCAAGGAGCAATACTTGTTTAATTTTTTTTTTTACATTTATTTATTTTTGAGAGACAGAGCACGAGTGGGGGAGGGGCAGAGAGAAAGGGAGACACAGAACCCAAAGCAGGCTCCAGGCTCTGAGCAAGCGTTCAACACAGAGCTCAACGTGGGGCTCAAACCCACAAACCATGCGATCGTGACCTCAGCCGAAGTCAGACACTTAACCGACTGAGGCACCCAGGCACCCCGAAAAATACTTTTTTAAAACAATCGGGTAGAATGGGGATACAAAGGCAGAGGAAAATTCGTGCACAAAAGCACATAAGTTCCATACGTATGAAAAGAATTTTTAAAAGATGGAATTTTCTGTGCATAATGATTTTAATTCAGAATTAAAATAACATTTTAGCCAAAACGTGACCCTAGGAGAGATGCACATTCATTTAGGCCATTAACGTTCACCTACCCAGCACCCTTCATGAATCGTAGGCCACCCCCAGTGAAGTGGGGCCTCGTGGGGCACACACGCTCTTCCAGGCCGAGGGGAATGTGAAAACACATAGCAGCCTGCTTTCAGTTCTTTTCCCAGGAAACAATCATTGCCCAGGGATCAAAGATATTAGGGGGTACAACTCATCGACTCTCTTCATGGGATCTTTATCTCTAGGGCTCCCCCATTTCAAAGTTCACATCACCCAGGTTCCAGAGAAAATTTTCGTGTCTTTGATCTGCCGCGTATCTGCCTTAGTCTTCAGACAGGTGCCGTGTCCGGTTTGCCGGGGGCTTTCAGTCTTGTCCGACAGACAGCTGCCCCGGAGACTTGAAGTCTGTAAGGCAGGGAAGATGAGGGAACCCCGTGTGTGTCTGGGTGTTTCTGCCAGGGAGCCTAATGACAAGACTGACCGGAAAACTGTTTGTGAAAGATTGTCAGAACAGGTGTATGTGGTAAATGCTGGGGGAGGAGGGGGCGGTGAAAGTGGGGATTTACTTCGGCTCTGCTGGTGAGAACATTCAGACCTCAGCACACAATGACCACGTTTACCCATCCACGCAGAAGCCTTAGTAAAGGCCACTGGACTCGGTATGATTTTTTTCTTAACTTTGGATGTTCTAAAATAGATAGCTGGGGCACCTGGGTGGCTCAGTCGGTTGAGCGTCCGACTTCGGCTCAGGTCATGATCTCACGGTTCGTGGGTTCGAGCCCCACGTCAGGCTCTGAGCTGTCAGTACAGAGCTTGCTTTGGATTCCCTGTCTCCCTCTCTCTCTGCCCTCCCCTGCTCTCTCTCTTTCAAAAGTAAACAATTATTTTAAAAAGTTTTTTTTAATAAATAGAGGTCATTATTGCTTATAAAGGTAACCACCTTATTTCCATATTCTTGTGTTCATCAACCAGCCTCAAGTCAACTCTGAATGAAATGGGAAGGAGGGAGTCACAGGCCTTCAGGGGAACAAGTTCTAAAATGGGGTATCATTCCATGTACCAAAGCTAATTGATTATCATTAATTTAAATTACCAAAGAACCTAAGGGGTGGGGGGGAAGGCTCTGGTTTGTCTATGGTAGAATTTTAAAAATTGAGATTTGAACGTGAGCACATAATTTTGGAGACGCCCACTGGGCTACACGCAGTGGCAGTGTGATTCCTAGCTTGGCGTTTGACGTAATCCTGCTCACCCTCCTGCAGGGGTCAGCCTGAGATTGCACCACGTCCAGGAGGGCAGGCATTTTCCCTGAGACAGACATGCCACAGCACTTTGGGCCTGAATCAGCCGCCCCCCCCCCCCGCCCCCATAGAACAATGTGCTGTGGGCTGCCTTCCCGGTAGAGCAGCAGGGACTGGAGGGGTGGGGGGTGGGGGGGGCTTGTTTGGTTAAAACTCACAGATGTGGACTGGATTTCCCTCCAGAAAGAAGCAGCTCGCTCTTAAGACATTAGGGGCCTTTTCCCCCACCCTCTTCTGTGGTTTAAAAAAAATTCTAGGCGCGAGACCTTTTCTGTCTCCAGCCCCAGACACTGACGTCTGAGTCCACAGCCCTTCTGCTCCGTGCCGCTGAGGCCTGCCAGACATGCAGACGTGCTCCCTTGTCTTTTTTGCAGTGACTGTCCCAGGCCACCCTGTGTCCCACACAAGCAACAGCTGAGCTCCCTCAAGATTTGTGGGGAGACGCATGTGTTCCAAATGTGCGGCAGGAGAACAGGTTAGGGCCCCCATCCCGCTCTCACCGCCTTTCAGTGACGAAAGCGGCCCCCCAGACATCATCTCCTCGTATCGCCTTGTTGATGTACGACAGCATCCATCCCGGGGTCCTGAAGGGATTTATTATGTGTTCCTTTGTTGGTCTCCAAAACATATCCGTTAAATTGTGGGCAGACACGGTCTTTGATCCACATTTCATAAAAAACAGAGCATTGAATCAGGCTGTGCAAAAGTCTATAGGATCAAAATGAGTTGGCCGAGTCCTTGGCTCAGTAGCTGCCGTGAGCACAGAGAAAGCTGCTGGCAGGTGCTCTAGAAATCTGTTGCTAAGTAACAAACTACTCCAGTACTTGGTGGCTGGAAACAACTTTTCAGTGTATGTCATGGTTTTGTGAGTCAGCAGTTGGAGAGGGTTCAGCCAGGTGATTCTTCTGCTCCCTGTGACATTGACGGGCGTCCCAGATGGGTTAGTCTGGAGGGTTCAAGGCGGATACCTGGCAGGGACCTCTGGAGGCTCAGCTGGGACCGCGCACCACAGAGCCCATCCATGAGAGGCCTTGCTGGCTGACCCTGCGTTCAGCGTGCTCCTTCTTCTATGTGCAGCTCAGGGCTCCATGAGCAAGTGTTCCCAGGGACAAAGCGTAGGCCACATGTGGTTTTATGACCTAGTCTTGGAAGTCACATAGTGTCTGTTCCATACTCTGTTGGTCAGATCAGTCCCCAGCCCACCCATATCCAAGGGAAGGGGACAGAGACCCCGCCGGAAAAATGTTAACGGACCTGCAGCCACATTTTAGAAGCAACACTATGGAGAAGTTAGGCGGTTCCTTAATAAGTTAGCCATAGAATTTCCCCATGACCCAGCCATTCCGGTCCTCCATGTAGACCCAGAACTGACACGGGTGTTTAAACAAACACTTGAACGTGAACGTCCATCATCCCTCTGGTGAGCATATAAACACAATGTGATATGTCCATATGACAAAACAGCCCCAGGAAGGAGGGAAGTTCTGGTACATACTACAGTGTGGATGGAACTTGAAGACAGAAGTGAATGAAGCCAGACACACAAAAGGTCACATATGACAAGATTCAGTTTACATGAAATATCCAAATAGGCAAATCCATAAAGAAAGAAGACAGATTGGTGGGAGCCAGGCGCTGGGGAAAGGGGAGAGGGAGAGTGACCACTGATCGGGCGCGGGGTTTCCTCTTGGGTGATGAAAATTTCCCCACCTAGAGGAGTAGTGGGTATGCTGAGTGCATAAAGGTCACAAATGGTACATTTTATGTGTATTTTATCACAATTTAAAAAATAGTTTTGTGGGGTTTTAAGTGCCCCAAATGACGCATGGCCTCCGGGGCTTATTAGTCTTGGGGGGAGGAGTTCCTGACACCCATTTGCCACTTCTTGTTTGATCCCAGAACACAGTTCACTTGTTTCTAAGAACCAGAGCTGAGTCATGGAGCAGGTTCTTTGTCCCTTACTCTCCTGTGGCTCATCTATCTCCCCAGCCCCCTGCTGCCACTCTGTGGCCCCTGTCCCCTCCCCTCGCAGCTGGAAACCCAGGGCCTGGGGATTAAGGGCAGAGTCCCAGGCTCGCAAGGGGGCCTCTGAGCACTGCTTTCTCTGCGAGTGGAACTGACCGTCGTCCCTGCCTCGTGGGCTCCTGGGAAGGACAGGAGCTCAGCATGGCATTCAGTGAACTGTAACCACGACCGCTATCGTTTGCGCCGGGACGGGGACCCTGGCACAAGGCAGCCACAGTCTCCGTGTGGACGCAGGTGTGCGTGCTCCCAGCCGAGCCTCGGGGTCTGTTTCGTCCGCAGGAATTCATCCGCCTGGGCAGCCTCAGCAAGCTCTCCGGCAAGGGGCTCCAGCAACGCATGTTTTTCCTGGTGAGTGCTGATGGCCGTTGGTCGGGTCCCGGGCTGGCCCTGAGCCACCTGGGAGGAGGGAGGAGCAGCCTGTGCTGCTCAGACTGGAGCTGCCAGCGAGCAGCTGGACTGGAGACCAGCGAGTTGCCAGGGAGGTTCCGAAAACCTGCTCTGGGCACCCGCTGTTTCAGTGCGGCCCGCCCGTCTCATCCGCACTTGTCCTTGCTCCTCCAGTTCAACGACGTCTTGCTGTACACGAGCAGGGGGCTGACGGCCTCGAATCAGTTTAAAGTGCATGGGCAGCTCCCGCTGTACGGCATGACTGTGAGTATGCGCCGTGGGCATGAGATCGGGGGCCCCGCCCTGCGGGCTGCAGGCAGTTCTCAGGCCCGATAACGGGAGCAGGAGCCCATAACGTGAGGAAGGCACCTTGTTTAATTTTTTTTTTTTTTACATTTATTTATTTTTGAGAGACAGAGCACGAGTGGGGGAGGGGCAGAGAGAAAGGGAGACACAGAATCCAAAGCAGGCTCCAGGCTCTGAGCAAGCGTTCAACACAGAGCTCAACGTGGGGCTCAAACCCACAAACCATGCGATCGTGACCTCAGCCGAAGTCAGACACTTAACCGACTGAGGCACCCAGGCACCCCGAAAAATACTTTTTTAAAACAATCGGGTAGAATGGGGATACAAAGGCAGAGGAAAATTCGTGCACAAAAGCACATAAGTTCCATACGTATGAAAAGAATTTTTAAAAGTTCGGGTTCCCCAAGAGGGGCTCAGGACATGGCTCGTCCCGCATACAGGATGCCTGCGTACATTTCTTCTAGAATCAAGTGAGGAAGCGAGCTGACGTGGCCATGAGGTCTGAATCTGCCGTTTACTTCTTCTTGCCTGGTGCTGGGGGCCCTGAAAGACCATCCTCTCCATCCACATGGAAAGGCGGAGCCCCCGCCCAATCGAGCAGCCACCTGTCTTTCCCCATACATGTGCCGGTGGACAGGTCTCCATGATCTGTGACCCTTGTTTGGCAGATGCAGACAGAATGCCAGTCTGCCCAGGATTATTTCCCTGGCTTAAACTCTCACTCCCCTCAGTGGTTGGATGAAAGGAAGTTTATGGGCTCAACCAAAAAAACAAAAAAAACAAAAACACTTTTGGTGTTCCGAATGTGATTTTCCTGACATGGTTCCTCTGAGCTGTAGCCAGTTTAGCGAACGTTTGGAAATGCACCGCGTGTCCCCCTGCCTCTGGCAGTAACATTCTGCACACTCATCCCACAGATAGAGGAAAGCGAAGACGAGTGGGGTGTCCCCCACTGCCTGACCCTGCGGGGCCAGAGACAGTCCCTCGTCGTGGCGGCCAGGTAACTCCTGACCTCTCACCTGCTTCTCCTTCCACCTGCTGTGGTCTGAAGACCTGACGTCTGCCTCTTCTTCAGCTCTAGATCCGAGATGGAAAAGTGGGTCGAGGATATACAAATGGCCATCGACTTGGCAGAGAAAAGCAGTGGCCCCACTCCCGAGTTCCTGGCCAGCAGCCCCCCCGACCACAGTGAGTGTGGAGGGAGAGGCTTCCCTGGTGCCCCCCCCGGGCGCGTCACCTCCAGGCACTAGCCTCGGGGGAGTGCGGGGGACAGCTCTGGCTGATGGAGGGAGGGTATCCCGCTGCACTTAAAAATCACCCGACCAGGTGCGCTCCTATCTGTGGTTGACATTTGTGTTTAAAGCTAATAATCAAGGAACTTCCAGTTCCTAAGAGTAAAAAAGCCCCTCAGAACAGTGCGAGGGAGCAGGGAAGTCCTCTCTTCTGGGCCGGCATGGTGGCTCGTGGTCCAGAAGGTCCGCGTGCAGGGAGAGAACCCCAACCTCAGCGCTCAAGTGTGTTAGGGGCTCCGCGGCACGCACACCTGGGGTGGGACCCCGACAAGAGATGGCTGCTAACGTGGCTTCCTTCTCTGGGGGCGCATGGGGCTCCCCAGGGGAGTGCCCCTGGCCGTCCAGTCCCACTCAGCACCAGGGAGCGTCCCCAAGGGGTCCCTTTCCTGGCCAGCAGACGTCTGAAGCGCTGCCTTTTGCCGCCTCCCACAGAGTCCCCCGATGAGGCCGCGGTGGCCGACCAGGAGTCGGAGGACGACCTGAGCGCGTCGCGCACATCGCTGGAGCGCCAGGCCCCGCACCGCGGCAACACCATGGTGCACGTGTGCTGGCACCGCAACACCAGCGTGTCCATGGTGGACTTCAGCGTCGCCGTGGAGGTACGGGCCGCCCGCGCGGTGCTCTCTCGTTCTCGTTCTCCAGGCCGTCCCTCCTCTCGCGGAGCTGGCTGTGGGGTGGCCGCTATCCATGCGCACTGGCGCGTGGACAGAGGCCCCGGCGCGGGCGGGGTGCAGGTGCCGGGAACCCCCCGTCCCCCCAGGCAGGTGTCCAGGGAGGCAGTGGGGTCAGAAAGCTGGTGCCAGCCAGGGCCATGCGGGCCACGGTTCACGGATGAAACCCTGGGACACGGCACACGGTCCCCTTCGATGCCGGGCTGCTGCCCCCAAACCTGCTTCCGGGGGTGCCATCTAACAGAGGCGCCGGAGTATCTTGTTAAACCCGAAAACTGAATTCCCAAACGGGCCTGGCCCGAGAAAATGTCCTGGGAGGCTGTGGGCCGAGAACGGCAGTTTGTTTTGCTTTTTGAAGCAACAGTGTTGGGAACGTGCCAAACCCTTCTTGATGGCTAGTCTGTGGGGACTGTCTGGGATTGTTCTCCAGAAGTGACCTTCACGGCTCCACAGAGCTGCTTTTGTGGAGTTCCCTGCCACAGAGAGTGTCCTGAAACCCGCGCCTGTCTGAACACATCCTCAAGAGGACACGTCCGAGGCCCAGGCCCTCCTGTTGGCTGGCAGCGGACGTCCCCTCTCCTTCGACCCCACAGGGCCGGACTTGGTCCTCCTGCCCGGCCCCCTTCCCACTGTGGGGCTGGAGAATTCTCCCCGGAGCGGGAAGGAAATCAAGTCTGTCCAGCGGGTCCAGGGAAGCAGGCGGAGGTGCATCACTGAGGGGTGGACTTTGCGCCACTTTAGACGGACCTCTTCGGGGTGTGGGCAGGACGAAGCGTGGGAGGTTGGTAGGATTGGAGCCCCCTTTTTAAGCCCTGAAGGCACTTAGGCCGCTCAGGCACAGCAGACACTGGAGTCAGGTGGGTCCCGGACACGTCCTCAAGGCCAGCTCTTCGGGGTGACAGGCCTGTGCAGCCGCAGTCCCGTGTGCGTCGTCAGGTGAACGTACAGAACCCGGTCAGCAAAGTGGCCCTCAGGCCGGCCCTGCCCCCCTTTGGCTGTTCGCAGTGCAGGAACTGAGAACGGGCTTGGACGTTTTTAAATGGCTACTACACGTATCTGATTTTGCCTGACGAGCCTCACTATACACCATCTGGCCCTTTGAGGAAGTCTGGCAGCCGCCACAGCCCCTGGGCGTGTGGGTTTAAGGAGCGGTAATGTGGGCTGAATACTCATGGAATTGGCTGGTCTGTTCCTCTGCAGGTGCCCCCGGCCTCGCCACGGGCACATGGCATCAGTTTAGTGTCTGTGTTGGGCCCCTTTGGTGCCAGGCATGCGCCCCCGCCTTCTCCCAGGTCCTCTGATCCCACTGGGTGATGGGGGCGGGGTGCAGGCAGTTCGTTCCCCTCCTGATGGTTGCTGAGCCCCATGCCCGGAACCTCTTCCCGTCCCATCTCCTGCAGAACCCGTGCAGGTGGAGATGTGTCCTGGGGACAGCTGGGTGGGGAAGGCAAGGTGTGCCGGGCGTACCCGCAGGGTTATGGGCAAGCCGGGAGCATGCGGGATGGGGGTGGTCCACGTAGGAAGGCCAGTGGAGCATTCTCATGTCCTAGACTGGAGTTGGCAGGTGCCGGAGGCCTGGGGAGGGGTGGGCAGTCTGGATGCAGGGGAGGACCAGGATGGAAGGGACAGCACTGACGGGGGATCCGGGGGGGGGGGGTCTCTGTGGGCTTGCCGGGCTGCCAGAACACGTTGCCACGGACTGGTTAATGGGAAGTTCGTCCCTCGTGGTGCTGGAAGCCGAGGGAGGCTCCAGCCCCAGGAACGGCCAGAACTCCTTGGGTGTTTCTTGGCTGGTAGATGCGTCACCCCTGTCTCCATCCCGCCTGGAGGTCTCCCCGGTGTGTGTTATAAAAAAGACGCCGGTTACCACATCAGGGCCCACCCTACCCCAGTACGACCTCATCTTCACCTTGACATCCACACACACCCTATTTCCAAATCAGGTCACGTCCACAGGTACCAGGGCTTTGGATTTGAACCTATCTTTGCAGGAGACACAATCCAGTCCAGAATAAAGACTGAGCAGTGATGTGAGCCAGGAAGAGGGCAGAGCAGAGGCCTTCCCTCCACTGGGGATTGGGGGAGTCCAGGAGAGGGGGCCACTGTGAAAGTGAGGAAACGGGGCGTCTGGGTCACAGATGTTGTCCTGCCCGGTAAAGGCAGCAGAAGGGGACTGGCCCACGTTGGAGGCAGACCTGAGTCATCTGCCCCAGTGGGTTCAGCCTCTAGAGAGCAGTGTCAGAGAAAAGGTGGCAGAGTTTCGGGGCCATGTGACCTGAGGAGACAGACATGTACCCAAGTGAAGCCACGGGGAGAGGAGTTTGAGTCCAGTTCGTGACCACAGGGGCCACTAGGACAGCAGGGAGCTTTCAGAGAGTCTGAACGTGGCATGTTCCAGAAAGGTGGCCGTGGGAAGTTAGCACCTCCCCGTGGACCTGCCTAGAATTGGGGCAAGGCGTGTACACGCTGCAGGACCGGCGTTAGGAGATCTTCTGGACGCCAACAGCTGGAAGAACTGGGCTCAGTAGAAGGCAGGTGCGCTCCCTCCTTGCCTCTGGGTGACACGTAATCATGTGTGATGCTCCCCAGTTCTGCCTGTAACTCCGAATACCCTGTGTTCTTGTCACTTTCTGCCCATGGCTGGATGGCAGCCGAATAGAGTGATGGGGGGGGATGGGGAGCTCTATCGGGCACCCCTGCTGTTTGCAGTGTCCCCCTCGGATCAGCTAAGTCCCGGGTGGGCTCTTTCCACCTCCTTTCACCCTGAGTCAGTCTCCCCATCAGACTGTGAGCCACTCGAGGGCAGAGACGTTTACACTTCTCTCTCCTGCTGCCGCGGGGACCTTGCTTATATAGGTCATTTAATAATGCTTTATAGGAAGAGTACCGGAGGAATAGAATAACGCAGACTAAGATATATTTATAAATTTTTCTTAAATGTAGGAATTTGCCCATTTGACACACAACTGTGGAACTGTGCCCAGCGTCCTTTCCTGCTTTAGTCTTCCCAGTAACGAGCAGCAGGCCTTCTCAGTGTCCTGGCACAGCCCGTGGGGCTGCGCAGCCTGTGTCCTGCTGCAGCGGCGTGGGGGCTCCTCCACCCGGGCCTCAGAGCTAGAAAGTTCGGGCAGGACGACCGCGCAACGCCCCTCCGTACCCATGGTTACTCTTCCTTCAGCTCCGGGGAGTCACAGGCGGCCCCCTGCCAGGACACATTCCACTGCAGGCCAGCGTTCCCGCCAAGGCCACTAGATGGCGCACAGGGCCCGCCAGCCCGTCACCCAGGGTGACAGATCCTTCCCCTCTCTCCGAGGGACAGCAGGGCCAGTGGACGGAGCCTGATGTGCTCCTGCCATATACCTGTGATGACAACCCCCATGAACACCTGAGGTCACAGCTGGACGTGGGGAACAGCACAAATCAACCCGTAACGGGGGGCAAGAATTAAATAAGGCTCGGAGAATCCACCCGCAGGGAGAACAGCTCTCCCTCAGTCACATGCGGGAAGCCCCGCCCAGGAGTCCCGCGGGACCGCGAAGACCAGGCCGCGCGCTGTCGGCGGCGAGGGCGCCCCCCACTCGTGCTCCTTACGTGCGTGCTTGTCTTTCAGAATCAGTTGTCCGGGAACCTGCTGAGGAAATTCAAAAACAGCAACGGGTGGCAGAAGCTGTGGGTGGTGTTCACGAACTTCTGCCTGTTCTTCTACAAGTCCCACCAGGTAAGTACCACATGGGACAGTGGGGACAGTACACCTGCCGGGGGCCGTCCTTCCTCTGGAAGGGCGAACAACGGGGCCCTTGAGCCACCCGCCCGGGCATGGAGGGAGGGACGCGGTGTGTGAGAAGGGGTCCTGCCCTGCACAGTGGCCCGGAGAGCCTCGATTCTAACTGGTCTGACGTCCGTCTGCAGCAATCCGGCCGAAGCCTGGTTGGTTGAGCGGGGGAGGGCTTCACTGAAGGTTCCTGCATGGCTTGGTCGGTTGGAGGCCCAACCCTGAACTGGGAGATCCTGACCGGAGCCAAAATCACGAGTTCGAGCCCTGCATTGGGCTCTGCCCTGACAGTACAGAGCCTGCTGGGGATTCTCTATCTGCCTCTCTCAAAATTAGTAAATTCTGGAGTAAATGGGGGGGAAAAAAAAAAGCTTATGAAGGCGTGGGGTCCCACTAGCTGGCCTGCAAGGAAGGCAGCCACTGCTCAGGCCCAAGCACCTGCAGCCCCCTTCTGTTGCCTCTGTCCAGGACCATCACCCCCTGGCAAGCCTGCCTCTGCTCGGCTACTCACTCACCATTCCCTCCGAGTCCGAGGACATCCACAAAGACTACGTGTTCAAGCTGCATTTCAAGTCTCACGTGTACTACTTCAGGGCCGAAAGCGAGTACACGTTTGAAAGGTAATGATGCTTCCTTCCGCACAGGCGGCCGCAGGAAAAGGCCACCCTCTCGTGAGCCAGGTGGACGAGGTTTATAGCAGCAGCCACTCCCTGCCCGCCGCAGGCCTGGGCATTTACTCACTTCCAAAATGTCCCTGACCTTTGGGGGGGGCGGGGCGGGCCGTCCCCTTTGCCTAACATCATATCCACTTCTGTTTTCATAGAAGCAAGTAAAACTGAGACTTCCCTGGGTAGTGACATCAGTCCTTAGCCTGTACCGTGTCGGGGCCACACACGGTACACTTTTAAATCTCTAGCGAGTGTGTTGTTTTAGTCTCTGGAGTATTGAGTCGGAATATGCCGGACTGTGCTAGGGCCAGAAGACCACTCGAAGAAAGAAGAAATCCTAATGTTTCTCAGGGTTACCTTCTTAATAAGACTAACACGTGGTGTAAGGAGGCCCAGGAGCCACAATCCTCAGACTTTTCCCAAAATTTCAGGTAGGAATTCTGGGCCCCCAGGAATGGCATCCTGCCACTTGGGCAGGCGGTGGGGTCCTCGGGCCATAGTCCAGGCGGAGTTAACAGTCACCTGCCCGCTTAGGGAGGACGGTCTCTCCTGGCCATGCTGATAGCACACGGCGTGTTCCTTCGTCCCCATGGGTTCCATGAGCCCACAGGTTACGACGTTAGTTCAGCGGCAGCCACACGGTGGTTGAAAACTCAAGTCAAAGCCTCCCCGTAAGGTATGCTGCTCGAAAAGTGAGCCCAGCGGAGAACTCTTCTCAAATCTGAGCCTGGCCCAGAGAACCTAGACTAGGGGGCTGATCCTAAAAAGACCAGTGATTAGAGACTTTTGAAAGCCCTGCTACCAGTTCCACGGAGGCAGGGCCTCCTCCCCTCAACACTGCCGACCCTGGAGTCCATTCGGCTGTCCGGAGGGGTGGGGGGGGGGGTCCTGTCCTGTGCCTTAGAGGATGCCCAGCAGCATCCTGGCCCCTCCTACTAGAGGCCACTTGCACCCCCTCCTCCGTGACAACCCAAAACACCTCCAGACGCTTCCACCCGGGTGGTTGAGAGCCGCCAATACACCGCAACTACCCAAACGCATATAACGGGCTGCTCGTCACCGTCCAGGAGGGAGAACAGGAAGCCACCTCACCTCCAACCGCTTCACGTGGAGCGTGCTGCCGCGTCACCTGGGCACTTCCTGTGGTCTACAAAATGAGCGCCCAGGCCGGTGGTCCTCAAACCGTTCCTCAGGAGCACCTAGAGGAACCCTTAGCCTTGCTTCCGTTCACTTGGGTAGCAGGAGTTCATTCAGGAACTCTTCTGCTGGAGTTGCACGTCACGTAAGTCACGACGCACGCTGAGTATCGGGACGCTCTTATGAGACCAAGTGACCCTTGACCGTCATTTCGCTTTCTGGTCTTAGGTGGATGGAGGTGATCCGCAGCGCGACCAGCTCGGCTTCCCGCGCCCACATCCTGAGTCACAAAGAATCCCACGTGTACTGATGGCAGGACCCGTTTGCTGGTGTGAGCGGTGGCTGCTTTCCCGGGAGACACTTACTTTCCCTCTGTATTAATGAAGCCTAGTAAAATTAACACCTGTCTGGAAAAGCGAAACATGGTTTCACAGCACCTCTCCTCTATCTCCGCAAAACCATTTTTAACCTTGTCTTTTCGAGCTGTTCGTGTCGTCTGAACGGAACCGTGCTCCCACCTCGGACGCTGGTGGCTCGTCCGTCCTTGTCCTGGTGGGCTCTTTCTAGCTTGTGCCAGTATTAAAACGTTGTCATTGATGTCGTGCCAAATGACGGTTTTTCTTCCACAAACTGCACCTTAAAAGCGGGATAACCACATCCGTTCAACCAAAAAAGACAGGGCAAGTGCTCTCCTTTTTCTTAAAAAAGAAAATTCTTTTGACTTACAGGCTGGTGCATTTTAAAAACAAATGGATTTTCCAATGTTTGTGATACATATGGCACAGTCTTAAGCAAAATGAGATCATTTTCCGATTTCGTTTTTTCAATCTTTCTACTTTTATAATAGTAGCAAGTTAGTAGGATTTACTTCGATTAATAAGCAATTTGCAGCACACGAAGTACGTTCCCCTTTGGGGTCTTACGCTCCAAGGAAACGCTGTTCTTGGCACAAGTTGACCAAATTGTTGAAGCGGTTCCTCTTTACAGACCGTAGCGGGTTGTGCTCTGTTCAGAGAAGCAGAAACCGAGCACGACGTCCGCGGTCTCGCTGTGGTGTGTCCGACCGAAGATGCTAAGCCGTGGTGTTTGCTGTTTCACAAGCATGAGAACCCGTATGTCCGTAATCAGGGCCATTTGTGAGATGTGACGTCCGGAGGGTGGGTGCGGTCCCCATCATACCTGTATCCTGCAACTGTGGTTTGGAATTGCACATTCAATAGTAGTATATATTGTGCCTGTCTTCAGAAAACATTCTTTCCTCCTTTTTATACTCACTGCCCCCTCTCCCCCCCCCCCCCCCCGCCCGCATGGGGTATCACCAGTAGGACACTGCGCATCCTCGACAGACCGCACAGGGGACACGGCTGGCGCCCACGAGGCAGAGTCCATGTGCCTGGTCTCCATGGAGGGCGGGGGGCTGCTATCCCCTAGTTAAACCCTTTCTGACACAGTCCAGAGGGGGCGACCGATCCAACCAGTATCTCCCAGTGCCCACACCACAGCTGGGAAAGCCCCTTACCTAAGAAACACAGGACGACCCGACGCGGGGGAGCCGTGACTGGTGTGCGTGGCAACGGCGATGTGCAAATCAACGTGCAAATGGACCAGTAGCCCGAGACGTGTTAATCATTTGCCTTACGACATGTACCAGATGGTTTTAAGTACTAACAAAAGGGAATAAAAATACCTCACGCCACAATCCAGCATATTGAAGTTTTAAGGCAAAACATAACCAACCTCGTCCGGTCTTTCTTTTCGCCTAAGGTGGGCGGGTTGCGGGGAGGGAGCCGTCGAGGCGCGGACGTGGCCAGTCCCACAGGGGTGGGTGCGAAACAGACACACAGAGCGTGTGGGAATCTTGGTCTGTGACCGTCTATCTGCGGCCGCCGAACTGGGGGGACAGAACCTCACGAGGAGCCGGTCCGTGGTTATAAAAGGACTAGAACCCGAGGGGTGGCTTCCACTTCCTTTGTGACAAGCGGCCCCTGGAGACCAGCTGTTTCTCCCACACCCCAGGGGTAGGACCAACTCCCTGGGAAGGTGAACCCATCACCAGGCGGCCGACAGGGCACAGGCAAGATCAGGAAAATGCTCTCTGTAGCAATCACCTGTCACTAAACCCTACGGGGCGTGAGGATGAGGTGGTCTAGTTCAGGGTCTCCAAGCGAAGAGCCCAAACCGTGTCCATGATACAACTGGTTCCGTTCTGTCAGCACCTCTGTGTCCCCGTGACATCAAAGCAAACGTTAGGTACAAGTCACGTGGGCAAGTGAGACCGCTCCCAAGCTGCCGGGAACATATGGGGAGTTCAGAGACAACCTGTACCTGAGTCCAGCCTGTAACAAAAACTGGCCTACAAACGGAACGTAGGGGCACCTGGGTGGCTCAGTCG